TAACAACACGGATGATGCCCAGCTCTCCTAAAATCAGAACCCAGGTGGCAGGAACTATGCCCATGGTCACAGCTCCCTGGCCACTCACCCACACTCCCTTCTTACCTTCCTCGGGCCCCTTACCACGGCTGTTGTTTCCAATAGGAGCTGCTTTCAAGATAATCTTTGAGAATTTGGCCCCATAAAGCCAGCAATCTAGAGGAGTCACTTCCTAACCCTGAGCAGAGACTTCTGGCTGTTTGGTGTGAAGTGTTTCCCCTCATTGGCTACTTGGCAGCCCATTCACAGCAGACAAGACCTCCAGCAGCACACAGGTATGTGCACACAGGCCAGATCCCCACATCTCCTGAGGCCACCCTGTGTCTGTCACTGTAAGAGGTGTACCCACAGGCTGAGAAACAAGAGGTTCTGCCATAAACAGTGGAAGGAGGTAAAGGTGGCTATGAAATATAGTATCACCGATCACCATGGGAACGGCAGGACCACAGCCTGTATAAGACCTCACTCACACCCTGAACATTCTCAACTACTGGTTCCCCTAAAGAAACTCAGTCTAGTTAAGCCTAAGAGAGAATAAAATCCAAACAGAAACTTCCAAACTTGGTCTTTGGAAGAACCAGGGTGGCAAGAGGCTTGTTATCTGTGGGGCTCTCCTTGCAGCTAGACACGGGTTGCCCGAACACAGGAGCCTGACTTGGGGCCCACTGTTGTTAAGCATGTCTAGGGGCCACAGGGCACAGTGGAGACAGGATGCAAAGATTTCATTCCACAGACAGAGCCTGGCAAGTGGGCTTTTGTACAGCTGAGTCCGATGGGGATGATGGTAAGGGGACAAGCCTGGCAGATGGCAGGTTGAGCATGAGTCTGGCAAAAAGCTGTTCTTTGAGACATGTGTGTTCTTGTTTGGTTTGGGCTTAGGATAACAAGGATGAAAAATGAGCAAAATAGAGCCACATGACAAAGGGTCTCAGTCTCTAAATGAGAGTCTTGAGCGTGAAGTAGGTCTTCAATAAATGTAAGTTTTGTGTACTCAGCATGCAGTAGGTCTTCAATAAATGCAAGTTTCATGTACTCAGTATGCAGTAGGTCTTCAGTAAATGCAAGTTTCATGTACTCAGCATGCAGTAGGTCTTCAATAAATACAAGTTTCATGTACTCAGCATGCAGTAGGTCTTCAATAAATGCAAGTTTCTTGTACTCAGCATGCAGTGGGCCTTTAACAAAAGGAGTTCTTATGCAGAGAGGTCAATGAGACACCCTGAAACAGTCTGAGTCAAGGAAACAATGAAATCAAATTTGCATTCTGGTAGGAATGTTGTGCTTGTCCTCGGTGCTCTGGAGCTCCTGAGGTAAATGAAATGTTGGCAACACTAAAATGGCATAAGGCAAAAAGAAATGCAGCTATAGAGTTTACTGGAGTCCAGGAATTATCCTCAGAATTTTCTGTTAAACTTCTTTAATCCTCATAATAATCCTGCGGTAGGCATGGGGGGATGACACATATTTGTGTGC